TAATCACCAGAGGAAGTCAGGACAGGAACTTAACCTGGGCAGGAACTTGGAGGCAGAAGCTAATGTAGATAGAAGCCATGGATGGGTACTGCTTCCTGACTTGCTCCTCAAGGCTAGCTCAACCTGCTGTCTTATAGAACCCAGGACTGGCCGCCCAAGGATGGCGCCACCCACCATGGGCTGGGCCCTCCCCCACTCATCACTAACGGAGAAAATGCCTTTCAGCCGAATCTCACGGAAGCATTTCCTCAACTGAGGGTCCTTCCTCTCTGATGACTCTAGCTTGTGTCCAGCTGACACAAACCCAGACAGCACAGTCGGTAAGTCAGTGCAGTTTCTCTGAAAGCAGTACAGAAGCCCTGAGCCTTCCCTACGGGTGTTCTCTCTCTCTCTGTCTCTCTCTGTCTCTCTCTCTGTCTCTCTCTCTGTCTCTCTCTCTCTCTCTCTCTCTCTCTGTCTCTCTCTGTCTCTGTCTCTGTCTCTGTCTCTCTGTCTCTCTCTGTCTCTGTCTCTCTCTGTCTCTGTCTCTGTCTCTCTCTCTGTCTCTCTCTCTGTCTCTCTCTGTCTCTGTCTCTCTCTCTCTGTCTCTCTCTGTCTCTGTCTCTCTCTGTCTCTGTCTCTGTCTCTGTCTCTGTCTCTCTCTCTGTCTCTCTCTGTCTCTGTCTCTGTCTCTCTGTCTCTCTCTGTCTCTGTCTCTCTCTGTCTCTCTCTGTCTCTGTCTCTGTCTCTCTCTCTCTCTCTCTCTCTGTCTCTCTCTCTCTCTGTCTCTGTCTCTCTCTGTCTCTCTCTCTCTGTCTCTCTCTCTCTGTCTCTCTCTCTGTCTCTCTCTGTCTCTCTCTCTGTCTCTCTCTGTCTCTCTCTCTCTCTGTCTCTCTCTGTCTCTGTCTCTGTCTCTCTCTCTCTGTCTCTCTCTCTGTCTCTCTCTCTCTGTCTCTCTCTGTCTCTGTCTCTGTCTCTCTCTCTGTCTCTCTCTGTCTCTCTCTCTCTCTCTCTGCCTGTCTTCTGTGTTTCAAAGCTGCTGCTTTAGGGCGGCTTCCTGATCAACTTGTTCCTTGTGAGAGAGAGCAAACAGCAGTGAGTCAGGAGGAATGGAGGGAATTTACCTGAGCAGCACACACCAGTCCGTCTGTGAGAAAGGATCTGAGTGCCAGGAGCTGGGAGAGGGGGAGGGTGCTGCTGGCTTACTGGAGAAATTTTAAATGATTTTTACTTATTTGTTCTTTGATAATTTCATACACGTCTACAATGGCTCTTGGTCACATTGTGGTGTTGCCTTTTTATTTTTATTTATTCATTTATTTTTACGTGTATGGGTGCTTTGCTTGGATGTGTGTCTGCACACCAGGTGCTTACATGCCTGGTGCCCACAGAGTCCAGGAGATACCCTGGGCCTGGAGTTACAGATGGTTATGATGAGCTGTCATGTGGGTCCTGGGAATTGAACCCTTGACCTCTGGAAGAGTAGCCAGTGCTCCTAACCACTAAGCCATCTCTCCAGTCTCTAATACTTTTTTTTAACAAATGAGGACACTGAACCTCAGAGATATTAAATTACCTGAAGGGCAATAACATTCACAGGTGGCTGTGTGTCCCTGTGCACAGCACTGCTCCCTCAGGGATAAAAAAAGTGTGTTGGAAGTTATTTGAATAATTTTCCTGATTCTTTATCATTCCCCAGGAGAGAGAGAGAGAGAGAGAGAGAGAGAGAGAGAGAGAGAGAGAGAGAGAGAGAGAGAGAGAGAGAGGAGGGAGGAAGGGAGGGAGGGAGGAAAAAGAGAGAGAAGGAGGGAGGGAGAGAGAGGAGGGAGGGAGGGAAGAGAGAGAGAAGGAGAGACGGAGGGAGGGAGGGAGGGAGAGAGAGAGAGAGAGCGCATATATATACTTAGGCAGGGACTAGAGTAGCCCATGTGGCGTTTGGAGACCAGTAGCAGAACCCACCTCTGCTCCTGGAGTCTGTATGGACTGCATCACGGTGTAACTTATATTCCGTTATCACAGCTATGCATACTCACGTCTGCACCACCTTCAGGGCAGTGTAACTGCCTGTCCTTCACCCCTTCATTGTCCTCTGGAGAAGGCTAGGTAAACCGCCTTTTCCAGCTGTTCGAGAACACAGGGCAGATGTGATCCCAGCGCCCAGGGTCACAGAATCCAGCCCCTTAAAGAGCTTCTGCTCTTGCTCCGAGGCAGCAGAGGAAGTGCTAACCGGCTTGCCCTTCGTTGATCTGACAGAGCAGGGCCACTGCTTTTCTCTCAACACAGAAGGGACGCCCTCGGTTTCCTGTTTGCAGAGCCAGCTTACCATTTACCTTCACAGACTCACAAGTCAGAACCTGGCAAGCAGACAGGGAACTAAGCACACACAAGAGGTGCTGGCGGTACAAAGTTGAAAACCCGAGTTAAATGCCTAGACGCCAAGAAAGGGCAGGGAGAGAGCTACTCCATAAACTTGTCCTCTGACCCCCCACACACGTGATGCCCCCCACTATGAGCTGTCCTGGCCAAGAGTTCATGCACACACACACCAAACAAACAACAGAAGGAAGGCTGAGGGCCAGAGACGGCTCAGCTGGTCAAGGCGCTGGCTGCATACGCCTGATGACCCAAGTGAATCCCTCCGCCTGATGACCCGAGTGAATCCCTGCGTCTGATGACCGGAGTGAAATCCCTGGAACCCACTTAAGGGAGAGACCTGACTCTATGAAGCCGTCCTCTGATCACCACACCAAAGGTCACCTACCCTTGGCTAAGTGTTGAGTTTGAGGCCAGGCTGGGATACATGAGACCCTACACATCAGCGTTGTTTATGTGAATGGCATTTCTGAGAGTGCGTTTTGTTTTGACACACTGGGGATCGAACTGGGGTCTTGTGCACACGTGCTGTCCCTGAGCACTCTAACGTAGAGACGGTTTTGCTAACTTGCCCAGGCTGGCCTGGAACTCAGTCTGTGGCTGAGACAGGCTTTGGGCATACGACCTGAGATGCTGGGATCACAGGCCCATGTCACCAGGCCGGGCTTGAAGCTCATCCTTGGTCTGTTTCCTTCCTGATGTAATCTGCGCTTCTCAGCTCTGACATCCGCCATGACAGTTTTTTCTCCATGCACTTTCCCTCACTTTGCTCTGAGGCCCCGAACCCAGCACACTGAGTTGCTCGCGAGAAGCTCTTCTAGGATAGACCCTGCAGGAGGGGTTTCAGAAATTAACATGGGGAAGCCAGTATAGTGGGGTTTGTTTTTGTTTTGTTATCGGGCATGGAAACTAGAAACCAAACTCTCTGCATGCTATGCCTGGGCTCTGTGCCTGCTTGTTTTGGCATTTTGAGACGAGCTTGCTGTGTGTTCCAGGCTGGTTTTAAACTCATGCCATAATCCCAGAAGGCTGATTCAGGATTGCTGTGAGTCCAAGGTTAACCTGGGCTACCTAGTGCATTTCAAGGTAATGTGGGCTACAGTTCGAAAGTGGCCAAATAATAAAACAAAAGGTACACTGAGATTCTGTCTCACCCACCAGAAAAGAGAAACTAAGAAGTGTCGGCAAGAATGTGGGAGAAAAGAAACTCTTTCGCTTTGTTGGTGGGGATATAATTAGTCAAACCCCTGTGGAAACCAGAAGGGAGGGTCTAGAAAGATGGCTCAGAGATTAAGACGCTAGCTCTGTTCCAGAAGACTGGGGTTGAAGTATCAGGACTCACACGGAGGTGAACAACTCTGTAACTCATTTCAGGGGAACCGATGCCCTCTTCTGGTTTCCCTGGGTACTGCATGGTGCACAGACATGTAGGCAAAACACCCATACACATAAAAATCTCAAAAATTTAAAAAAATTGGAAATAGAACTGTCATACAATCTATCAGCACCACTCTTGGGCATATACTAGAGTCAGGTCACTACAGAGTCATCCACATCTATCTCACTTCCGCGACAGTTAATGAAAGGAACGAAGCTGGTGTCCATCAATGGATAAAGGAAATGTACACATGCACAAAGGAGCTTTACGGGACAATAAATGCAGTTATGTTCTCTGCAGGACATGCACGGAGCTGGAGATCACATTAAGTGAAATAAGCCAACCTCACAAGCATGTCTTCTGTGTGGAATCCAGGAAAACAAAGGACAGGGAATTAACAGGGAGAAGGGGAGTGGGTAAGATTAATAGGGCTGAATACATCAAGGCTTATTATATGTATGGAAATATTAATATGAAATCTCTGTACAATTTATACTAAAAATGATCTGTATTTTAGCTCAACAAGAGTTCTTATTTGTGTTGGGGGCAGGAAGAGTGTTGAAGGAGCTGCTGTTCCCCCTGGCAGAGATTAAGAACTGGTGACTGCAGATAGATCAGCCACATATGTGATAATGATTATAGAGCTGTTAGTGGCCTTGGACCTAGAAGTCAGTAAGTCTTTTACTTGTACATCTTGGGGAAACTACTGTCAAAACACCCCAAGCTGCCTCCAAGCCCAGGCCTTTCCCCAGTGGTGGGGATGAAACCCTGTGCCTTACAGATATATGCCAATAAGCAAGTGTCCCCAGAACCTTTCCTCAGTTAATTCTACCACTGGTGGTGTTGCATGGCTTGCCTTGAGAGGGTGCCTAGAACGACCACCTGTCTTGCCTTGAGAGGGTATCTAGAAATGGCCATCACATAGTACAGCACGGCAGGGAGCAAAGCTTCAGGCAGGTGATCAAATCCCACTGACGTCTCTTCCTTGTCTTAGCGCTGTGGACATGTTGCTTGCCAGCATTCAGCTACCTCATTCAGAGCTAAGCCTGCTTTGCGTGGTGGCTCTGAGCGCAGTGATGTGTCGACACAGGGCAGTGGCCCAGAGCAATAGCTATGGAGATGGTATCTGTCTGTGGTAGCTCCGAACTGGTGCATGAAATAAACAAACAAGTAGACCTGGTGACAACTCATTTATTTCCGTGCCCTGTTGTGTGAGTGGGAGGTGCTTGTTTTCACCTTCCAATAACTGATTAGGTCATAACAACGAAAATTCCAGAAGGTAAACTAGTGGTTTATTGTTGCTCACGAGCATAAGTAAACAGACATACGACAGCACATAAAGGAAGCTTCTACGTGCCTAACCTTTCGGCAGTATGAACCACTAGACTTTGGCAATGGCCTGATTGGATTCCTATGCTAAAGTGTGTGGTTATCTTCAGACACAAAGGGAGAAGGTGGATTTAATGCTTGGGCTTCAGAGATAATAACCATGATTCTTAGGAAACCGGGAAAGGTCAACATCACTCAAGCCTACCCTCGTTCTTATCTGTGTGACACGCTGTTTACTCAAAGTGACAACAGTCGGTGGCCACACTCCAACAGCGGTGGTTGCTGTCGGTTTTGTAGACTTACGTGTTTGTTGAAAATAACTAACTTCCTGCAGATGGTAGGCTCTACATTTAAGTAATGTTAACTGAACCTCTTGCCTGCTAAAGGAACTCACGCAGATCTCAAGCATGGGATAGGCAATTTCCTGTAAGAATCTGTCATTTCCAAGCAGCTGTGTCATTTCATGGGCTCCCTTTCAGGTCTTTCATTCCTGCATTCAAATCTCACGGCGTCTACTTCTGAGGGTTTGGTTTAGGTAACAAACAGGTACTCACCATTAGAAGAGGATCTGTGACTGTGCTGATCACCAAGGATGTGGTTTACATTAAATGCTACACGGTTAGAAACTGATGAGACGGGAGTTCTCGGATCCTAGGAAGTATTATGGCTAAGGATGCAGAGAACTCAAATAAGGAAGGCAGCTAAGGAAACTAACTCAGTGGAGTGAAACAGAATGAGCTCACTAACAAGGAACGGGCACCACACAGCATTTCTTTGGACGTTAAAGTGCAGGCTATGAAATGGCATATAAAACAGTGCATGAAATAGTGCAATCCCAAGGTGCCATCATTTTTGTTCATGACGCATAGCCTATTTTTTGTGTTCACTTTCTCTAAAAAATCCAGCTGTAGTGACACCTTTTAGCTTATTTATTTAGGCATTAAACTCTTGTTTTACCCACACTTGGGGCTACATAGAATATTTTAACATTTCAACACATAGAATATTAGCGCATACATCTTGAAACTACTAAATTAAGGCAAGCCCCTGTGAAGTTCGGTACTCCAAAAAAACATGTTTTACAAAATAAGTTGATTCCAAATTATTGGCTTTCAACCTGGGGCACCCCAGTAGTCTTTACAACAGTAGGGTTACTGCTAATTGCCCCACTACCTCTAGGATCTCCACATCAGAAGGGAAGCTTGAGGAGTTCCTGTAACCCACGTCGGTTGGAAAGCAGTTGAGCAGTCTCTGTAGGAGGTGAGCAGGGCTTTGCAGGACAGGGGCCAGTCCTCTTCACCTCCCATCCATGTCTTTTCATGTTTGTATGCCTGTGTGTAGTGTGTACCACGGGTAAGCTCATACATAGGGATGACCAACTCAGACAGAGGAATCGCTTCTCGGTGGGACACTTTTACAAAAGGTGCTGTAAACCACCTACCGCATGTAAGCTTCTGCCAGGAAATGCAAGAGGTGTCTCTCAGGAGCCTGCTTAAGTTTTCCCATGGCAAGTCAGTTTTAGCTATTCAAATAATGCATGATTTGGAAAACCCTAAATGCTACTACGCTATCCTAAAGAACTGTATTAAATGGTGAAGACAACTTCCTAACATGTGTTAGTGACTCTGAGTAAAGCTTAAGACAAGCGAGCTGTAGTACTTTATTCTTGGTGCGCCTGTATCTGATGGGCTGGAGGTCTCAGGTGCGTGCAGCAGACATACCCCTTCTTACCGTGGGTGCTCATTATGAAAGCCATGCACGCACAGTAACTAATGGAAGACTAGAGGTTACATTTAGGCTAGTTAGATGAAGTTTGAAAAAAATTCTGAGAAATTATTAAATTATTGAAGAAATAATTTGAGGTTCATTTCTTTGATGCATAAGGATTATACTTTGAAAAACCTGTACTTGATGCTTAAGAAAGTCTTCCTCTACCAGAACAGTAGACTGATACAGTCAAGCTCGGAGTGCCCCACAGGCCTCCTCCAAGGCTACGGTGATATGGCTACGTCCTAGGATCGCAACAGTGAGACCTGCTGAGAAAACGAGTTCTAGACAAGGACCTTTATGGATGACCTTGGCTGACAAATCTTTCTAGGAAACTGTTTATTTTAAAATTACCTTCCCAACAAACCATGAAACACTTGGATGCCATACGGTTTCTCACTGAAAACACACGACATTGTAAATTGACAACTTAAACAAAACCAGGGCAGGACCATGACGGGATGATACTAAGAATGGGCAGGAGAGTGTCACTTGGAAAAGTAACCTAGAGGACGCATAATGCATCATGTTGGACGGATGACAACCTCCTGCTTTTTTCTCCCACTGTGAGATTTACCAAAACCTTAGTTTTACACAGGTGCCAATTTTCACCTGGAAAGGGATAGTTTTTACTATCTCATACCTAAACTTACTATAAATAACTGAAGCCCAAAGCAACAGATGTTTAAAAGAACAAAACTACATAATTTAGTACATTATAATAAAAATAGGACAGTGATTGTTGAATGGTCAAAAATATACAACAGGGAAAAGAAGCACTTTACACAATTTGGAGGTTGTTAAAGTGACCACTCGGGTTGGACAGTGCAAGACACACATTTCCAGTTACGAGCTCAAAACAGGAGTGCAAACAAAACTAAAGCTTCTGTTTAGGGATCATGGGAGCTCATGGGCCAGAAATGAAATGGTGAAACCGCTTTCTCACGGCACACACAATGTTCTTCGATGAACTTTTTCCTTCAGTCATGACTGACCCATGAGCACAGTGACAAGTCAGAATCATGACTCGTTCCCAGAGGTCTGACTTCTACAGAAAGAGGCTTGGATATGGGGTTCTCTCTTAGCCAGTGTACCTGAACCCTACAGAGAAAAGACACATCAGTGGACTTTACAGTCTCCTGTGTCTGCAAAACCGGAGGACAAATGGACTGATGATTCTCCCCCTACAGGCAAGCAGCTGCAGAGGAAGATGTTAAGCGCTTAAACCAATAAAGGCACAGCTCTACAAGTGGTGTTAGAGGTTTAAGATCAACACCAGTGCAAGAGCTGTGAAGTGTGCTGACTAGGCAATGCATGCATCCATCCATGCAAATGCAGGACATGGCCCCAAAGAAAACTGAAAGCCTGTATCTAGCAATTGGAAACATCCCTTGCCAGTAGCTTATAAAAATAGACAGTCAGGACTGTAGAGCCCCTGCTACAGTCAACCTACGCAGTCCTTTCCGTTACCCATTGCTTCAATGCCAAAGTATTAACTACTTCTCAGACATTCCAGACAAAGGTCACTTATAACAAACAAAAAGTCAACTTTTTTTTAAACATGATAGTGTCCATTTAAAAAGTAGATTTTTTTTTCTTTCAAGTGAACAGGACATTTTATGTATTAAACTTAATTTTTAGTCTGTCAAGAATGGGTTTGTTTAAAATCCGTATGTAATGTGCATATATGCTGAAACAAACAAACTTAACACATCATCTGCACAGGAAAAACGTTAGCTCCCAAATATGCCAAATATGATAGCATGGGTCTGGTTAGTACAGATCTATTGCAAGTAAGGAGGTTCTGTGCATCGGCTCCACCAGAGAAGCGCGAGAAGGATGCCAACCACAAGAGCCAAGTGTAAGTTGTGTTCTGATTGCCTGGAAGCCTAAGGGACGCCATGTTGCTCCAGCCTCCTGCTTAAACTCCCAGCCATGGATGTCTCCCTCTGGAGCCACAGCCACATTCCAATTTACTTTCTATTCCGAAGTCGTTTGGATTTCCTAAGAGAGTCTATGGCTTCTGTTGCCTTCCTCCTCTTCCGAGGAGACTCCTCACTCTGCCCAGACCCTGAAGATGTTCCTACTGCACTTTCCATGACCTCTCGGAGCTTGCGCTCCAGCTCTGCCAACCGTGCATTCTGTTCACCTATGATCTGGGTCTGCTCTAGCAGTTTCTGGTCTTGGTCTTGAAGCTGTTTCTGCTGTTCTTGCACTTTGGTGCGGAGCTCAGAAATTTCACGCCTGAGAACAGTCACGCCAGCACCGTTGGTTTTAACCTGCTGCTGGAGTTTGGTAACCTCTTGTCTTGAAGGGTTTTGCTTGGAGAAGAGCTGCATTGTTGTCAGGGCTGCAGATGGTCCAGGAACTGTGGAGAAAGCATTTAAAGGGGTAATCATTCATATTTTCTACTGGGAACACATCAGCTTATTTTAGGATTTTGGGTTTATTACAATACAAACTAATTTTAAGTTAGTGGTATGGTCACATGTAAAGAGTTAGCTATGAAATGGTTCTAGAGAGCATAATTTAAGAAAAAAAAAAAAAAAAACAAACCAAAACAAAAAACTCCCCAAACCAGAAGCAGGAGGCTGGGGAAGTAGCCTTGCAGCAGAACATGTGCAGAGCTCTGGGTTCCATCCTCAGCACCAAACCAACTAACTGTGGGCAAATGAAAACACAGACAACAGGGCTATCAAGTTTTCACAAGGGGTATTAAAAACTGAAGACATACCCCGAGCAGAGCTGCCGTGCCGGTGGTGCACAGCCATGATTCCAGCACTCGGGAGAGGCCAAGGCATGACGATCACCCTAAGTCTGAGGCTAACACAGGCTATATAGAGTCTGATGCCAGCTTGGGCTATAGATACATAGTGCGTCCCTGTCAGCAAAAGAAAAAAAAACAAACAAACAAAAAGGATACCTGGAGGAGAGCCCATGAGTCTTCCAGATACATCTGATCCTGGCAGTTTCCTCTTCAGGATTGGAACAATCTTCTCATCAAAGTACTCCATCGCCATGGAGGAGATATCCCGCAATTCTTGTAGTACTTCATGGGCTCGCTGAGGGGCTCTGGTAGAGTTGACGTATCTCAGTACACGGTAAATCTCATCAATCACCTACAATAATGAACTCTTGTAAGCCCTTTTTAAAGTTTTAAAAGAGATCAGCTAAACAGTGAAGTCGGGATGACCCATCTTACAGCTGCTATGAAAACTTACAGAGCATCTAACGCATGAGCTCGGGAGGGGAGTCCACAGCACAGACTTCTGGACGCCTAGACCTAGTAAGCATCTTTCTTGGACCAGGGTACTCTACAGAGTCAGAACAATAAGATACAGCTCCTGCCCTGAAGGAAATTGGAGCAACCAGGGAGACACAAAAACACACACAACAAGAGCCACATGACTGCTAAAGAAACTAGAGAACTAAGTGCAGACATTAAACTCTGCATGGAGTAGTGGCGGGGTGGGGGGGTCACCCAAGTCTACACTCAAACCTGATTCTGTGCCCAAGCCCCAAGAACTCCATCTGGTTCCTCTTTTGTGCACTCCCACCACATGTTCTGTCCCTTAAAGCTTTGCTTTTCTAAGAGTTGACACAACGTGGAGTAAGCTTTCAGACCACACTTTCTCACTGTCAAAGGGCAGCAAATGTGCTTTTCTATTTTAATGACACCTGCAATGGGCAATCGGAAGCAAACATCAATGGAGAAGCAGCCAGGGCGTGCTGCACTGGTTCTAATGCCCCCTCTCCTACTTCAACAGTAGCTCAATGTCCTTAGACAAGTGTGCTCTCAGCTTTACTCCCTGCCAGGGTATTGTTCACACACCCATGGCTTCAACACAGACCTGAAAACAGTGGTTCCCATCTTTGAAGACCACAGAGCAGATAACGTCTACTGCAATGGGACCGCATCTCACAAGAACCAGGGGCTATAAGCCAAACCATTATGCCATCAGAGTCTCAACCCTCCTTGAATCATATTTTCCTCTTGCTGCATTCATCCCAAGTCTGGGCCGGTCTTGTAATCTGCCTTCTCTTCTTGACTCAGAGAACAAACATACAAAAAACATAGAATCTAGTCTAACAGTGCCTGGACAAACCGTAGCCCTTAACATTTTCTAGATTCAAGTTGAAGGTGATGATCCCTGGTCAGTCTAGAATGACTTGCCCAGTAAGTGTCAGCAAAATTAAACTGTCAGGAATGGTCCTTAGGATGATCATAGGATGGCTTCACTGAAGTGACCAACTTTGTGGGCAAGGACCGACAAGGAACAGAATGAGCTGAGACAGAGAGAACATCAGGTAGACTGAATGGGAGTAACACATACTGTGTTGAATTCAATGGGCAATCAGGTGATATGTGCCAGAGGCAGCTGGACCAAAGTCAAGAAGACAGAAGGCAAACTGCAGGAAACAGACAGCAACAAGGGTCTGAGCCCACAGAGAGACCACGAGGACCAGGGAGTCAAAGGCACAGTCAAAGAACCAACAGTGCTGAGATGTGTGTGTGTGTATGTATGTATGTATGTGTGTGTATAAATATATATGTATATATGTATGTATGTATGTATATATATATATATATATATATATTTTTTTTTTTTTTTGGTTTTTTGAGACAGGGTTTCTCTGTAGCTTTGGAGGATGTCCTGGAACTCACTTTGTAGACCAGGCTGGCCTCGAACTCACAGAGATCCGCCTGCCTCTGCCTCCCGAGTGCTGGGATTAAACACGTGCGCCACCAACGCCCAGCTTATTTTATATATTTTTGCCATTATTATTCTATACAGAACTCATGCTAGAAGAAAATGAACTTTTTCAATAACCTATTCAACTACCATGTTAGAAAGCTAGTCTATAGTAAAATGGAGTACTTTTTCTTGGATATAATTATGCAAACAGAGTTTAAAATGCATATTCAAGGGAGCTGGAGAGATGGCTCAAGAATTAGGGCTGTTCTTCCAGAGGACCTGGGTTCAATTCCCAGCACCCACATGGCAACTCACCACTGTCTGTAACTACAGTTCCAACCTTCACACCAATGTACATAAAAAAATCCAGTATTTTCAGAGTGCTTCCTAATGCTTGTGATGTTTCAAAGCATCAGAGTAAAAACCAGTGAACAGGGATAGTAAGACACTTATTCGTGGCCAGGCATGGGGCACACACCTTTAACCTCAGCACTCAGGAGGCAGAGGCAGGTGGGTCTCTGTGAGTCTGAGGCAACCTCGGAATAGACCATGGTTGGTTTCACTACTGGATACATAGAGTCCCACAGTGCCTGGCACATGCCAGCTACTTCTAGGTATTAACTAAATAAGAGCTATTTGTATTAATATTGACATATCCAAATGAAAGTGTGTAGAGGCAAGCGACAGGGTTAACTGCAAATTAAGAACATGGGTTTTAGAGGGTAGTTGCTTTGAATACAAAGAGTTAACAAGATTACTACTGAGAATAATTTCTCAAAACACACAATTCTTATATGTGCTTCTGTTTAATTATGTATCCTCTGTTTTATAACTAAATCTCTAGATATTATGTATACCCATATTTACTGGTAGACTAATATTTGCAGCATGTTTAGCAATGTTTATTTATTCAGCTGTGAAAAGACAGATCCTATCCAACAGTAAGTCACTTTGTGAATGACTCATAAGACAGACAGACATCAGACAGACTACAGCAAGTCCCTGTACAAATAAAGTACCGTGTGAGACACAGAAAGCAGTCTAATGAGGGAATGGAAATAAAACAGTAAACTCTGAGCAGCAGGGGAAAGCAGAGAAGACAGAGGGTTGAAGAAAAACAACAGTCAGAAGTGGTGGCCAAGCCTGCAACCCCAGTACTCAGGAGGTTAAGGTAGGAAGATCACAAGTCCAGGGCCAGCCTCGGCTACATAGTGGGAGCCTATTTCAAAAAGCACAAATGAATGAATAAGTGCAACAAAACAAGGACAAATAAGGAAAAGGAATGGAGCCAAGGCCGGTGGATGGCATAAATGGATAGGTGACAACGTAAGCAATCAACATGCCTGATACTGTACCCGAGACATTTATTCTAGGGTGTATTTCTACAAGCAAACATTAGCTGAGCATGATGGCCTAAGTCTTTAATCTCATCACTCAGGAGGCAGAGGCAGGCAGACGTCTGAGTTTGAGGCCAGCCTGGCCTACAGAGTGAGTTCCAGGACGGCCCCCAAAGCCACAGAGAAACCCTGTCTCAGAATTCATCTGATCATCTCTCATAACTGTTTAATCTGGTGGAGCACACTCACAGGCTGGAGCAAGGCAACCATGACTGGAGGTCAACCTGGAGATCTATCTCAAAACAAAAAGCAGCCACAACAAAATAGAAAATACAAGACAAACACATCCTGAGAGGGAGCAGAAAGACAAGTGAACCTCCAGGGTTACCTAAAGGCTGTTTGTATGCCTTTCAAGTAATACGCCACATACCTAACCCTAACTAGGCCTTAAGCAATAAACCAAGTTTTCAAGAATATTTATGTACTTCAAATGTTTGTCCTATTCCCCATGTGAGTCACTATGACATTTCTTTTTCTTTTTTTTTTTTTTTGGTTTTTCGAGACAGGGTTTCTCTGTGGCTTTGGAGGCTGTCCTGGAACTCACTTTGTAGACCAGGCTGGCCTCGAACTCACAGAGATCCGCCTGCCTCTACCTCCCAAGTGCTGGGATTAAAGGCGTGCGCCACACTATCACATTTCTAAACAGAAACTTCACTGCATGAAGCACATATTCGAACTGTAAAGTAACAGCACTGACCACCTGCACCTGGTCTGGTCAGCCTCCATTGGAATCCTCCTACGCCTTCATTTTCATGCTATCCACCTCTGTGTTTTTCTTCTACCTGGGATTTCTTCACATCAACTTCACCCTTTCCACTCTTCAATATTAAAAAATGTCTTCCATAATCCAAATGGCCCTGAATACTCCTTATATGGCATGCGTTTGTTTGAATATCTTTTCTATTTCACTTAGACTATCAGCCTACATTATTAACCCTTACATGAGCTTTTCATCCAGTTTCACTCTGCTACCTTTTAGTCTAGCAAGTCTTTGTTATTTGCTAATATCAAGACCACAGCACATAAAAAGTCAACCAGAACTTCCCAGTCACCCAAGAAGGTTGCTGAAGGAGAGACCTGCACAAGCACCTATAACTACACATCTGAAGGACCCAGCACCTTCTCTGGGGCACAAGCACCTATAACTACACATCTGAAGGACCCAGCACCTTCTCTGGGGCACAAGCACCTATAACTACACATCTGAAGGACCAAGCACCTTCTCTGGGGCACAAGCACCTATAACTACACATCTGAAGGACCCAGCACCTTCTCTGGGGCACAAGCACCTATAACTACACATCTGAAGGACCCAGCACCTTCTCTGGGGCACAAGCACCTATAACTACACATCTGAAGGACCCAGCACCTTCTCTGGGGCACAAGCACCTATAACTACACATCTGAAGGACCCAGCACCTTCTCTGGGGCACAAGCACCTATAACTACACATCTGAAGGACCCAGCACCTTCTCTGGGGCACAAGCACCTATAACTACACATCTGAAGGACCCAGCACCTTCTCTGGGGCACAAGCACCTATAACTACACATCTGAAGGACCCAGCACCTTCTCTGGGGCACAAGCACCTATAACTACACATCTGAAGGACCCAGCACTTTTTCTAGGGCACAAGCACCTATAACTACACATCTGAAGGACCCAGCACCTTCTCTGGGGCACAAGCACCTATAACTACACATGTGAAGGACCCAGCACCTTCTCTGGGGCACAAGCACCTATAACTACACATCTGAAGGACCCAGCACCTTCTCTGGGGCACAAGCACCTATAACTACACATATGAAGGACCCAGCACCTTCTCTGGGCTCTGCAGGCACTCACCCCATATACACCTTTGTTTTTTAAAAGAACACGTTTTCATTTAAAGGCTTACAGCTTTTTTGGACTAGTCACAGTAAAATAAATAATCCCAAGTAATCTTAGGTTTAAGAGCATTTTGTAGGAAATCTAATTAAAAAGGCAAGATATTTTAGAAATATTAGATAACCCTGAATTGTTAACCCTCACTATAACTGGCCTATGATAATGAAGGAACTGGCGGTCCACATCTTTATTGCCAGCATTTTGGAGGCAGAGACAGGCAGATCTCTGTGAGTTTGAGGCCAGGCAGGAATACAGAGTAAGACCCTATCCTGATAAACAAACAAATAAGGTGGTGCACAACTTTAATCCAGTGCTCGGGAGGCAGAGGGAGGTGGATCTCTGTTCAAGGTTGACCTATTCTACATAACAAGTTCCAAGAGAGAGAGAGAGAGAGAGGGAGAGAGGAGGGAGGGAAAGAGGAAGGGAAGGAAGGAGGGAGGGGGGAGAGGGAACCAAGCACTAGGAAAGTACTACTGTGATATGCAATGAAATCTAAATAGAAACTGTCAAAGACAGGTAGGAGTATTTTACTAATGCTAAATTTCCTGGTTTTCTATCTGTACAAGGAAGACTGCCCTAGTACTTAGGAAACACAGAACATATCTAAGAACCAAGGCTTACTAGTGTCTATAACATATTTTCAAATGATTCAAGAAGGAGTGCACACTAAAGAGAAAAATGGTCTACAATTGCTAGATCTGGAAAACACGCCATTTGGAAATCTGAAGATGTGTCCATTGCTGCCCACTGACTTGATACTAGAATTGAAATCTAAAGGACAGCAAGAGTTTCCAAAAATAACAGACATAGACTGGACTTCCCTGCACTTGTTCAGGCAGTGCAAATCCACGGTTCAGTTATGCAAACCCAAACGAAGACTGGCAACAACTTCTGTAAAGGCCAGATAAAAATACTCATCTTTGCAGGCCCCCAATCCAGCCACAAACCCCTGTTAGAACAACAGGCTGCACTTTCTTTGATGGTAGGAAACTGGATGCTATGACTGTGCTGCTTCTATTATTAAAAAGAGACACGCAGTGAAATTGTCTATTGGAGAGGACAGGTCATACAGGCTCAAAGAACTCAGCAGCACATAGAGCTAAGGGCTATACATACATAAAATCTGCCATAAAAAATGTGAACCCAGGTTTTAGTTAGTCATGCTCTTAAAGTATCTTATAAAAGCATTTGTAGGTCATATGAGGAAATCAGATACAACAAAGAAGATTTGAAATAAAGTATATGCCACCAAATCAGATGTCATTACAAACTGAGAATGGGAACAGTATCTACATACAATATTGCCACTATAATTGTTTATGGAAAAAAGAAATTTCCACCACTGAAAGGACACTTTTGCCAGTGTCTATCAAGAAGTAAAATGATCCTTAAATCCATTTCCATGCTTCTATATCTTATTGAATCTGTACTCAATTCAACAAGTAGGACGTTCCCAGAAGTTTCAGGTCATTCAGTGTGGTTGGGGAGGGGGAATTTACTTAGTAACAGTACAAGTGCCATACTTAATGTGGTAAAGAGGTCAACTCCTTAACCCTGGTATATTCCCACACAACAAATATGACTCTGGTTAAATCTGAAAAACCAAACATTTCTCAAACCAAACCAAACCAAACCCAGCAACTCTCCATCCTACCTCCCCCAAACTGCAGCAATCTTGAAGGCAGCACAATCCCTTTCTTGTTCAATGCAGCATTTCTGGTATTCTGACAATAAAGGTCAAAATATTTTCTTAACTACAAGCCCCCAAAAGTCTCTGTTCTGCTGTGCATTTTACAATTTAGACTTTTAAATGTCAAGATCACATGAATGATGCATATTTATAATTGTACAGAAAAGCTAAATATAGTCACTAATAAAAACACATTCAGAGAGGTAATATTTCTGACATCATAAAAACTTCTGTAACGTTTGAAGACTCAGTTTACACAGGGCAGCCTAACTTTCTGGGTATGTGGCACTGGTTACCTTTCCTGGGATGAAGCAACAGAGGTTGGAATCCACATACTTCATGAAAGTCATATTTAACAGTGACAGCCTCGTTTCCACGGCAGCAAGGATATCTGCATGACGAGCTAAAGAATGGTTTCTCCTTTCTGACTCTCTCCTGAAATAACAATAAAAGTCAGTGGTGAGCCGGGCGTTGGTGGCGCACGCCTTTAATCCCAGCACTCGGGAGGCAGAGGCAGGCGGATCTCTGTGAGTTCGAGACCAGCCTGGACTACCAAGCGAGTTCCAGGGCAGCCTCCAAAGCCACAGAGAAACCCTGTCTCGAAAAACCAAAAAAAAAAAGAAAAAAGAAAAAAAGAAAAAGAAAAAAGTCAGTGGTGACCGTTAAAGCAGTAGTGTAGAATAAAATGTTAACCAATCAAAGCATCTTAATCAAACAGATGAACTTTAACATACTAAACATATGCAACTGGGTCATAACCACAATACTCATATATCTTTAATAAGAACGACTGTTAACAAAATACCTGTCTTAAAAATCACTTTGTTTGAAGACACAGTAACAGTTGGCAGTGCAGCACAGGGGTAGACCACCTGCCCAGTACCTGCGAGGCCCTGAGTCTGATCCCAACACCTTTCTCTCTTTCTCTTTCTCCTCAACCTCCTCTAACAGTCTTACTCACAAGTAATTCAAATGTAAAACTCGGTATTTCTTTATTTAGAAGGCAGCTGTGCACTCTCTGTACCTGTGTCATACCCTATTGAGTATGTAGTTTAATCAGAGTAGATTCTGTGTAATAGAGTGGTATGACCTTCATCACACGAGAACATGTACGCCGCATCAGTTGCAGCCATCTGCCAAGTCATCTACCTTCTGTTCTATGATTTCCTTTTTTCTGAACACCAGAATAAATGGGATTATGAGGCAGCCTTTGTGTCTGGCTTTTCACATTTCTATAGTTCACACAGTTCACTGATGCTCTAACACTGACCTTTTTATTGCTGAATAGCATCCCCTTATACACAGATATCATCCCTTTACACATCTGGGTTGTTTTTGATTATGAATAAAGATGCTAAGCACATCTGGGCGGTGGTGGCGCACGTCTGTAATCCCAGCATTCGGGAGGCGGAAGCAGGCGGATCTCTGTGAGTTCGAGGCCAGCCTGGTCTACAAAGTGAGTTCCAGGACAGCCTCCAAAGCTACAGAGAAACCCTGTCTCAAAAAACCAAAAAAAAAAAAAAAAATCTGTGTACAAGTATGTGTTTTTGTTGTGTTGGGAACCAGATGTAGTGTTTGTTTTTTTTTTTGTGGGGGGGGCTGGGGGTTAAGGGATTGAGAAATGGTTTCTCTGTGTAACCACTCTGGCTGTCCTGGAACTTGTTCTGTAGACCAGGCTGGCCTCAAACTCACAGAGATCTGCCTGCCTCCCAAGTGCTGGGATTAAAGGTGTGAGCCTCCACTGACCAGCTAGATATGGTGGTTTGGAAGAAAATGGGCCCCAAAGGGAGTGAAGCTATTAGGAGGTGTAGCCTTGTTGGAAGAAGCTACTCCCAGTGAGACAGATCACTTCCTGCTACCTGCAAGATGTAGGACTCTCAGCTACATCTTCAGCACCACATCTGCTGGCATGCCACAATGTCTTGTCATGACGATAATGAGCTGAACCTCTGAAGCTGTAAGCCACCCCACTGAAACGAGTTGCTGTAGTCATGGTGTCTCTTCACAGCAATAGCAACCCTAAGACACCACACCAGGACCTTGTACATGCTAGTCAAGTGATCCACTGAGCTATAGTGTTCAAGTTTCTGTATGAACACACTTTTAATTTCTCTTGAATACACACTCAGGGCAAATTGCTTTATTGAAATACATCTGTTTGGGGCTGGAGAGAAGGCTCAGCGGTTAAGAGCACTGACTGTTCTTCCAGAGGTCCTGAGTTCAATTCCCGGCAACCACATGGTGGCTCAAAACTACCTTGAATGAGATCTGGTGTCCTCTGCTGGCATACAGGCAGAAGACTGTATACACAATAAATAAATAAAGTATTAAAAAAAAGAAATATATCTGTTAACTTTTAATTTGGTTCATTTTGTCTTTTAAAAAAGGATTAATCAGTGCTCTGACCTGTGAGCAATCTTGCTGACCCCTAAAGGGTCTCTCTATATAGTCCTAGCTGTCCCAGAACTTGCTAAGTAGACCAGGCTGACCTTGAACTCACAGAGATCCTCCTGCCTCTGCCTCCCAAGTGCTGAGATTAAAGGCATGTATCACCTTACCTGACCAATTTTTTAAAAACATATCATTCTTTATCCAACTGAACTTTCCTGGCATCCTTACTGAAAATCAAGTAACTATACAAGGGTTTATCTTCCAGACTCTCTCTTTTATTCCACTGATCTGTATCTATCATTATATTTGTACCATACTATTTTGATTACTGCAGCTTAGTACCAAGTTTTAAAATCAAGACGTATTTGTCTTCCAACACTGTTACTTAAAACTGTGTTAGTTTAAGATTAGCTGTCCAAATTCTAAAAACTATGTATGCATAGAGAGCTGAGCCTCTGTCAGTAGTGTATATATGTGTGATGTATATATATATATATACATAGAGAGAGAGAGACAGACCTGAGAAACACTGTCACATTAACAATATAGAATCTTCCAGGCCACAAACATATATGCCTTTCTATTTCTGTCTTGTTCTCTTCCCCTATTCTCTTTCCTTTCATTTTGATTTTTTGAGACTCTTTCAAAGATAGGGTTTCATGTAGCCCAGGCTGGCCTCGAATTCCTGATCCTCCTGCTTCCATCGCTCAAGTGCTAGGAATACAGAGGTGCAACATCACATCTGACTTAATCTTTAATTAATTAACTTATTTATTTATTGAGACAAGGTCTCTCTACAGAGACCTGGCTGTCCTGGAACTCACTCTGTAGACCAGGCTGGCCTCAAACTCACAGAGATCTGCCTGCCTCTGCCTCTCAAATCTTCTTAACTACTGAGTCATCTCTCCAGCCCTCTTTTATTTTTTTCCCTTGTTTTTTCTAGATAGGGTTCCTCTGTGTAGCTCTGGCTATCTTGGAACTTGCTCTGGAGACCAGGCTGGCCTCAAACTCAGAGATCCACCTACTTCTGCCCCCCAAGTTCTGGGATTAAAGGCATATGCCACCAATGCCTGGCCAGATTATTATTCATTTCTCATCAAGCAAACCCGCCATGCCCCCTCTGCTAGCTGGAACATACCTTGGCAGTTGTGCTTTAACTTGCTTCTGGCATAGATTGTGGTACCTCTCCACTTTCAGAAATCCCTGATTCAACATTCTCTGACAGACCAAGTCCATTCTTTTACAAACCTATAGCAGAGGGGAGACAGAATTAAAAAGAAAAAAGAAACCAAGGACCAAATTCACTAATGATGAACTTGGATGGGATGACTGAGGTGGGAAGGTCTCTGTGCTTTACTGTTCCCCAAATGGTATCTAACCTGACTTACTGCCAGTGTCATCAGTGCCATGGAATTATTATGGTGTCTCACCACGAAATTGTTTGGGCAAAGCAGTATCACTTGCTTAGGTGTGCAGAACACCTGTCTGCAGTACGGTAAAATGATGCACCTGAAAGCTTTTAATAATTTGAAACATTCCCTTCTATCCCCCCTCCCCCCAAAAAAAGGTAAATTCAAATTTTAGTCTAATCTCCGAAATACACGCATAGTGAGAACTTTTATTTCTTAGTGATTTGGGTCATGATGACCAAGGCTTTCAGATGGGATGCTGTTATATCCTCCAAAGCATCTCAATGGACATCGGAAAGGCAACCACTAGCTCATTCTGCTTCCAACCACCTGAAGCCACGCCCAAAGGTGTGTGGCCACCGTTACAGGTTCACTGGCAAGACTGATAAGAGACAGCTGAGACAATCGCAAAATGGGATTAAATCACACAAGCTAATTCCTTTGGACTACTCTAAACTACTGCATAACTGAAGCCTCAGTTCTACAGATCTAATTTCTATATTTCTGAGCAATCCTAGCATCTTTATTATCTTTTAATATTTTAAATCCAGCATATAAAACTTAGTGGTTTTGTTTTTTTTGCCCTGAAAACTTTATAATGGTTTGGTGATCAACCTAAAGGTTACTTCTCACTATATAGGCTAGATGCTAGAAAGTACAAGCTATTGAAGCTAGTGCTTACCAGGGCCATGCCAATTAGCAGAGGCTATGTCATGCTTCTTTTTATATGTCCTATTCCATTACAGTATCCATGCACAAATGCTTGCTGTGTGCTTGTTAAGATGAAACATCTAAGTTTATTTATCCTGGGAGCACAGGAAGACAAAAATTCCTGCACACTGAGCAGAATTTCATGAAGACTTCCATGTTTTAATATTGAGTCACAGCAGGCCATAGGAAACACATTAGGGAAAAGTTATTTTCAACTGTATAATAAAGTAAAACAAAAACAAACTGAAGGTAGTGACACACCCCAGTAATCCCAGCACTCAAGAAATAAGAGGCGGGAGGTCTATTTCAAGTTTGAGGAGCACAGAATGAGTTCCAGGCCAGCCAGGGCTTTGTAGCAAGAATGTCTCAAAAAAATCCAAATCACTGCTTTTTAAACCCACTGAGGGGTCTGTTCATTCAAAGGCAAAGAGTAACTGGGATTTAGTTTCAGTGGAATGTAAAAGAATCTTATGAGTAAGGCACAATGAATCACTTCTACTTTACCGTAAATTTAAAAGGGGTCCAATGTCCTACACACATACTGAGAAAGACAGACAAGGTCACACATAACCAGGTTGTTCTTGAATTTATTCTGTATCAGAGGATGGCCTTGACCTCCTGATCGTCCTGCCTCAACCTCTCAAGTGCTGGGATACAGGCATGTACATCACACCTGATTCTGAACATATGTACACGCCTGTGCACATGCCTGTGCACCTCACTTGGCCTTTAACATGTTTTAAATGAAAAATAATTTCCTTTTAAAACTATGTTTAGTGAGAAGCACTATTTTTCAAAGTTCTTTGATATGACAAAATTCTAAAAATTATTTCCACAAGAACATACAAGTAGATATTTTAATTGTTACTAACATACAGATGAGATCACAGGCCATATAACTACTAGAAAAGGCTATGGTATACTTTAGTGAGAAATACAGTATCTTAGTACTGTAACAGAAGTATCTACAGGGCTTTGCTGCTTTTCCAGCACTCATACGGAGGCTCACAACCTTCTGTAACTCAGTTCCAGGGGATCTGATGTCCTCTTCTGGCCTCCCCAAGCACCAGGTGCACACATGGTGCACAGATACACATGAGGACAAAACACCCATAAACATTAAAAACAAAACAACAAAACACAAGAATGAGCCCATTCTGGGAACCTCTGTGGGCTCTCTGGAACACACTTCAGAAATTCAGTAGCCTAATATGGAGTAAACACATCGAAACAATCATGAGCACTGAATTGGTTTTTTTTTTTTTTGAGGAAGAAAAAGATAGTGTATTTATTTGTGAAATGGAAACAGAGAAGGCTACATTCTCATCTTTCAAGGCAGAAAGTTAAGAGAAAATGTGAAACAGAGTGGTCAGAGACTTCAGAGTGGGGCATCTGGAGTAAGAACTGGGGACAACGGAAGGGAAGAGGGCTACTAAAGCCCTCTACTGTTAAGTTACAGGGTATTCTACTAAAGCCCTCTACTGTTAAGTTACAGGGTATTCTACTAAAGCCCTCTACTGTTAAGTTACAGGGTATTCTACTAAAGCCCTCTACTGTTAAGTTACAGGGTATTCTACTAAAGCCCTCTACTGTTAAGTTACAGGGTATTCTACTAAAGCCCTCTACTGTTAAGTTACAGGGTATTCTTGTGTCTGCAGACCCCGCAACATTACTAAGTTCTGAGAACCACATTCTTACAAACCCCCTAAGGACAATCGATTATTCCTGTAACAACTATAAAGTCTGTTGAAATTACTTGTTATGAATTCTGTTCCACTGGATCTAGCTGGTTCTAAGGGTTCTACCGTCTTTCTTTAACCATGCAGAAATTCAGTAATATGAGTGCTTTACTAATTTGAGTAGATAAGAGTCACTAATGAGAAGCCAAGTCAACCAAGGGGAAAGCACATGACTAAAGCACATGACTTGGGCCTCTAGGGAAGAAAGAGCAAGACTGCAGTATGATAGGCGATAGTCTGCAAAAGGACAAAGTCTGCAATGAGCAAAGTACCAAGGAGGTATTTCTGAAGACAGATCAGATGTACAGGGAAGGTGAGAGAAAACTTCCCAAGTCTAAAGCCTGTAAATCAGAAAATGAGAAACCACTCTCAAAAGACAATCCCCGATCTTTTCAAAGATCTGATACTGGTGCTGGCTATTTCTGCAAGCATTGTAATATCGTAGTTAAAAAAATGTACTTCTGAAAATTCAGTGGAGACAGCTGAAATCAATATGGATGAAGCCCAGAGGAAAAAGGAAAAGATAAAAATATAAAAAAGAATGTTTATAAATGAAGCCTCCACTGACGTCCCTAGATGGGAGTTAACAGAAAGGACAAAAACAGAAAACAAAACAAAACAAAGAACACGTCACAAAGACAAATTAGAGCAGCACCACCGAAGCCAACATCACACACCATGAAGCATTAGTCAACAGCGTGTGACACGCAGTGTTTTATTGGACCTTCTCCTTTCATGAATGTTCAATAAGCACTGACAGCACAGACATGAAGATATAAAACCACACACACATCTTCTGTTTAGGATTCAAAAAGAGGCAGTCATCTTAGGAAAACTGGACTATACTGAACTTCCTTCCCTATGGCAAGCAACTTAATGACCATTGCTGCCAATGTGTGCTAGCTTGCAACTTTCAGTCACCCCATCTAGGATAAGGAGGTAGCATAGTGGTAGAGAGGAGAGGTTCTGGGTTCAGTACCACACCACACCTAACTGCACCACCCTGTACAGCAGAAACAATTCCCAAACTACCTCACCTAAAGTGCAGCTCTAAATTTAGGGGTATGTTAATAATTTTCCAAGGCTCAAGGGAAAATATTTCTCTGGTTAATAACATCAACAAAAATCCTGGCCAATTGGCAGTTTACACAAATTAAAAACACAGAGCATAATAAACAAAGATGATGCCTATGTCAGAAACCATTGGAGCTCATGGGAACAGGCTAGAATTGTAGAAAGGAGAGGTTGAGAAGGGTTGAGTCGGGTGGAAAAGGACTAACCAACACTCACTAAGCTCCATTTAGAGGCTGTAGTTACCTTGCACTCATGTAGTTACTGAGTGCAAGTTAACTACAGAGATCAAATACAGTACACTTATAAATGTCAGGAAAAGATTTTAAATGTTTCCACTATAAAAAACTGTAAAGGTTTGAGATTCATGTTTATCCTAATTTGGACATTACACAACAGATATGTGTGCCCAAACCCGCTCCAAGCATTGGTGGTACATGCCTGTAATCTTAGCACTTGAAAGTAAGAGCTAGAGTTCATGGCCAGCCTGGGCTACATATCAAGAACAGGCCAGCATAAGACTGTCTCAACTAATTAACTAACAGTTTTCCAAATATGCACAACACTTATGCATCAACTTAAAAAGAATAAAGCGGGGGTGGGGGATGGGGAGGAGTGAGGGGGGGGAAGGGCGACGGCAACAAGACTGGACACCAGATGTAGGAAACAACTTTTGGCAGCACTACAGTTTTTAAAAGTCAGTCAATTTAAACACATCAGTTATAAACATCAATACACACAATGAATGTATGCATCGGTTAACAGTTCTTAGTTATCTTATATGTATAGGTTTTGCATGCATATATGTCTGTGTACTATGTGCGGGCGTGATGCCTACAGAGGCCAGAGGATCCCCTGGATCTGGAATTACAGGTGGCTGTGAGCTGCCACATGAGTACTGGGAATGGAATCCGGTTCCCTGGAAGAGCAGAAAGCACTCTTACTTGCTGAGCTGTCTCTCCACTCCCAGTTTTTCTAATTTTATTAAAGGGGAGAAAAACATAAATGCTACATAATTATTGAAAAAATATACTCCCTCCCCAAAACCCCAAACAAAGGGAACTAATGAAATCCACCATTGTACAGGAATGACACTGCTCCTTTAATACTAGGAAACAGAATTAAGTTTTCCTAATTCATTAATTACTTCAGGATTTAAAATGTCATGTTTATCCTTTTTAAAAATAATTTTTAAACTTAAGTAGTAACAAAAATTTTTTCACATATATTGATTTTTTTAATTGGTGTTTTGCCAATATGTATGTCTGTGTGTGAGGGTGTTAGATCTTGGAGTTACAAACAGCTATGAGCTGTCATGTGGGTGTTGGGAATTGAACCTGGGTCCTCTAGAAGAGCAGTCAGTGCGCTTAACCACTGAGCCATCTCTCTAGCTCTCCTTCATATATTTGTTTAGAATTTTTTTTAGATTTGTTGTCGCCATGGCCTTTCTTGACAATGCAAAGCAACTGCATGATAAATCTGTGAAACTTGCAATTTTCCTTTAATATCTCTGAAGTTAAGTTTTGGTTAATTCTAAGGTAGACACTTGGCTGAGCAGCTTATAATACATGATGCCTTTTAATTTGCAGCATTTCCTCCTCTGATGCCTGAGCTGTCTTGAAAAATGCTACCCTAGAAGTCTTCAATTTTGTTTAAGATGCTGTAAAGGCTTTCAGATGTAACTCATATAAATCACCACAATGACATACACAGCAGCTCAAGACACACTCCGATCTCATAAATACCGAGTTATGAAACACTACCTTGGAATGGAGGACATTGTGTAATACAGCTCAGTTTTTACAACATATTCTCTGGTGCTCTAAAGTTTTGCTTTTTAAATGAAGCGCTTGATGTTTTTCTCTAAAGAGCTCAGAAGCTATCACTAAAGACCCAATGCCTGAGTTCAAACTACTGACACCAAACTATAGAGTAGGGCTTCATTTTTCACTTGTTTTGACTGCTTGGGACAGGGTCCTGATCATAGCCCAGGCTGAATGTGAACTTGGAGCAATCCTTCTGTCTGTTTTTCAAGTGCTGAGATCACAATTACATGCTAATACATGTGATTTCAACTGATTTTACTAGTTATATGTCTCTGAACTCTTCAAAAGATCAATAGCAGAAAAAAATGAAAACGTGGAGTATTCTAGAGCTTAATTCTTTTGTTTTTTGTTTTTTTTTGGGGGGGGGGGGGGTTCAAGACAGGGTTTCTCTGTATTGCTTTGGAAGCTGTCCTGGAACTCACTCAGTAGACCAGGCTGGCTCAAACTCACAGAGATCCACCTGCCTCTGCCTCCTGAGGGCTGGGATTAAAAGCGTGAGTAACTCCTGACCTAGAGCTTAATTCTTTATCAGATCCTAGATGCTCCTCCCCCCCAAAAAAGCTATAAAAGACATCTGAGGGAAACTGAGAAAGCTGAAGATAAGCTGGAATACTAACTCCTGGAAATAGATGACACTGTGGTTATACAAGGCAAGTATTCAGAGCTACGCTTTATATTTGTGCTCTTTAAACAAGTTGGTAAAAGGTGAGCTATATCTTTGCCAGTGCCTGTGCACCCAAACTGCTCTGCCTTCATTTAGAGTAAGAGAAGGAGCAGACAAATGAAGGAAACGTGCCCAGAATTAATGATGGAGGAAATGTTATTTATAAAATCAATAGTGAATGAGGACATCCATTTTGCCTGTTTTCTTTCCTATTTTCTTTTTCAGGGAACTCACTTTCATTTCTCTCATCTAAAGAAGGACCAACTTACTAAGTCTTACATAACAGTATTTTATGTTTCATAAAAAATGATGTCCATCTTACAAAATAGGCTGCCTAAGAGTACTTGTACAAGTACACAGCATATTTATACATACGGGTGACTTGCTTACATGTACGTTGTGTGCACCATGTGCCCTTGGAGGCCAGAAGAGGGCATTGGATTCTTGCAACTGGCATGGATGGTTGTGAGATGCCAGCCTTAGGAGTGCTGGGAATCAAATCTAGGTACTCTGGAAGAGCAGCCAGTGCTTGTAACCTAATAATTCTCAATCATCAGCAGGTAGAATTCTAACAAATATTTTTATCTTGGGTGGTTTGTCCTCTAGATATTCACTTGAAAGAAAACAAATTAAATTCATCTTACATTAGTCTGAGAAAAACAATTAGGAAGAGTCTGTTCCGAGGATTCCTATAAAGCCATTGGGAAGACTTTTTGATGAGTTTTCTGTTACCTGGGCTGTTTACAGTAAATGAAGTGAGCACTGATTAAAATGGAGGTACTTTGATGCACTGATAAAAATGACTATCTTGTTTATACTATGCTAATTTAGTCTCAAAACTTTTTTCTGGGGGGGGGATGATGACTCAGCAATTAAAAGTATTTGCTGTTCTTCCAGAAGACCTGTTTGGTTTCCAGCACTGTCACAAGGGGGGCTCACAGTCACTTGTAACTCTAGCTATAGGGAATCCAACACCTCTGGCCCCTATAGCAACTGTATACATGTGGCTGACACAGACCCTCACACATAAATACAAGCAAAACAAAATTTAAAACATTTTTTTCCGTTAAGTTAAAGATAGTGGTGCATGCTTGTAATTGTAGCACTTAGAGGTGCTGGCAGGAAGACCCAGAGTTTGCTAGTTTGAAGGAGCTATACCAGGCCAGTCAACCTCTGACCTTCACACTCACATGCACATATGTATGCCACCCACACACATGTACATGACAACACCCACACACATGTACATAAAGGAAAATTTGTAAAGTGTTGCAAAATATTAGTTTCATGCTGGAGTGAATCACAAACCTGAAAAATAAAAGATCTAATCTAGTCGAGGCAAATAAAGACCACATTTCCAGTAGTTAGTGTAAGTTACACAGAAAACCCCTTTACTTCACAATGATGTGACTTTCTATTGTTTATTCACAACAGTGAAATGCTTTAAGTATTTTGTTCAATACATGGAAAGCTTACACTGCATCACAGACTATGGAAGGCCCAAATGATACACGGTGAATAAGGGGGAGTAGAGACAGGAGGATTACCAATGCTGACCTTATTTCTCCCTGGGTATGTGCACCTACACAGGTGAATGCACAAGTACACAAAACAGCAAAAGAATCACTGCATAGCTGGGTGGTGGTGGTGCACGCCTTTAATCCTAGCACTCAGGAGGCAGAGGCAGGCGGATCTCTGTGAGTTCGAGGCCAGCCTGGTCTACAAGAGCGAGTTCCAGGACAGCCTCCACAGAGAAACCCTGTCTCAAAAAACAAAGCAAACAAAAAACAATCACTACATAGAAGATACCAGATGTATCTCCACACCTTGTTGTCATTTGGATATGATGTCTTCCAAAGATCCATGTGTGGAGACTTAGTCTCCAGCTTGGCAGTGGTAGGAACTGCCCAAGACAGTACAGGGAATACAAATACATATGACATGATTAAAGCAGCTTTTCCCTTCTTTTCATGTTAGGCAGGCACACGTGCACACAGAGAAGTAAGGTGAATATGGAACTTCCACAACCTCTCTTCCTTTATTTTTTTGAAGAGTGGTCTCTTAAGCCCAGGGCTTTCCAACACAGTGAGGCTCTAGCTGGCTAGTTCAGGGATCTCTACCTCAGAGGCTAGAATTACAAGTGGGCTGTCATGCCTACTTGGCACATATGTGGGTTTTGGGGATCTGAATTTCCACTCTTCTGACTGCTAAGCAAGTTTTAACTGAGTCCCCTGTCCAGCCCCTATTCTGCTAGTGTTCTTACACATGTCTCCTCACCAAAGGCTGCCAATCCTGGAGAATATAAAAAATAGTTTCTTACACTTCACTCTGCTGGGGAATAAAGCCCAAGTATAGGTGGAAACGTCCCAACAGCACACTGAAAACTTTATACCTCCAGACTCAAGCTCATGCCAGCCCCTCGGCCAATCCTTCCAGGTGCTTCCATGCCTTCCAGGCCCTTTCTGCAGGCAATGTTCCAACAATGGTCCCGAAGAAGTTTTTCCTGCTTAACTTCAACACCCTTTATGTATGCTTTCTGCCTTTATTAGTCGGGTGCTTCGTAAGTGTGCTGGGAAGGGTATGTCCATTACATCTCCATGAGTACACCGGGGCAGGACTGTTGCTTGAACTCTTCCTCTGTGAGTCCTCAGGAAGAGTGAGGAAGGGAAGAACTGTCCTAGGAGATTATTACCCTTACCTTTCCTTCAGTACCTGCTGCAGAGAACTGGGAGGAAAACAAAATCCACAACACAGGTTACTCTGTAAAAAGGGCAGTGGTTCTCAGGGTAGGTGGTAGGTGGGGTTTCCAAGGCCCTTTCAGGAGTCTGCACGGTCAAACTATCCTCATAATGGAAAAGAGGTGACTCGCACTCACTCACAGGTGTCCAGCTGAGGTTCTAGAGCAATACAGTAATAATGCCTTGCCTTGGTATTCTGGCAGCTAATGGATGTGTGTTTGTATGCTTGTGTTTTATGGGACTTTCTAAGGTAAGGTCTTGGGACCATCAAACCCTTTAAAAGGAGTATAAAGGTAGATACACTGAGACAAAACGTCAAGAACTTCTAGCAGAGGGTGAGAAGAGGCAGAGAAGAGGCCTAACTCAAACAAAAGAAAAAGGCCTCTTCGTTGTCCCTACTACCAACCCAATCTATAACTAAAGCTTTCTCCCATGTTAAAACAAACCAACCATGAAAGGAACTATAAACAGCAGAGTCTACTCTCTAGAGTGATCTAGACAAGTCTCTTGGGGCAGAGCATGGCTTTACATACTTGGCTGCTGACTGGAAATCTCTATTCCAAATAATAGCAAGAATTCTTGATTTACCATGCAGTCATATTTATGTTCTGAAATATAACAGATGCACTCTATTTGCAGGAGCACCACCGGAATTACAGGGAGGGGAACCACCATCTCTATTATCCTCAATAGTCAAAGTAGCACGTTCAAAGCTAGCTCTGCTAGTCTCCATCCTTACCCCTGGCTACTTGTTTCAAGGCTCTCAGGTCCCTATTAAGGGTCTGAGTGACACACCAAAGCCACATCAACACGAATTTGTCTTTCTGTGGGAAAGCATCGAACTCAAAGCGCATACCTTGCCATTTGAAAAGTAATATTCAGTCAGATACATTTTAACGTATGATAGGAATTAAATATTTAAGCTATTTCTATGGAGCCAGAATTTTCAGGCTGCATATGTTTGGGAAGCAAAATTTAGTAGCAGGAAGAGAGCCAATTGAATAAGGCATTCAGACAGACCCTCAGAAACCAGTAGGCTGGAAAATCAAATTTCAATTATTTATGGTTACAGGAGGCAAAGACTATCATCAACTAACCTGGAAAAATAATTGAAATATATTGTTATAGCAACTCCAGGTCAGAGATCTTTTATAGAAAATACAGAACACTGAGTACTTGGGTTACGCACCTGCTCTTTAAGTTCGGTGCTAGGAACAGGGAAGACTGATGTTTTAGAGGAAGAGGGAGAAAAAAAGCAAAATGCCTATCTTAATAATGCATACACTAGCCCATGGATTACAACTTTGCTTTAGGAAAGCTAACTGTATTCTTTTTTATTTTATTTTTCCTCCCTCCCCTACTAACTGTACTATTATTGTTCCCTTCTGGGCTTATCCAGCCTTACTTCGTATTCAAGTAAACACAATGGAAGGAACTTAAGTAATGTATATAGCAGATGCCAGAACATATACTTAAGTCTCTTGATTTTTTTTAGCAAATAATTTAAGTAAAAATAACCATTTAAATTGAAACGATACATACAAAGAGCCTGCCAGGCAATCTTTCTTTTCTATCAATTTCACGAAAAGATCATAATAAAATTAATGCTGACACCTAGTGACAAGAAAGAACACCTGTATTTTATGTTACTTGGATTGTATTTTCTGAAACCAATGAATCTAAAACCAAAGATCCATCTTAAGTGGCATAAAGACCCAGTACCATTAGGGAAAGAAAGGTACAAGAAAGGTACAAGACCTCCTGGTTTCTAAACCATAGGTGCAGGTATAAAACTGGCTGGGAAGTGGGGAGCAAAGGGACTCCTTGAGAAAAATGGTTTAAATTATAAATCTGTAACACTAGGACAGGAAACAGAAAGACAAACGAATTATAGCTGATAGAGTATCGAGTTTGAAGTCCAGAACAGTGAAAAAGCAGTAACACACACACACACAACAGTGAAAAAGCAGTAACACACACACACACACACACACACACACACACACACACACACACACACACCAGACAAAAATGAACGAGAGAAGAAAATGAAAATACGGAAAATGACTAACATGCAAATAAAAGCCAGTTTTTCTCAACACTTAAAACAACTGCGAACATTCCAAGCTTTGCAAAGCCATTGTCTGACTGACTGGGTCATTTCAATCAAATGCTATGTCCAATTGCAAACATCATGTACATAAAGCATAAATTCTGGTCAAACCCCATTCTTCTTAAACTATACTTATGATTCTACATGAAATTTTAGGACCATGTTTTGAAAATCCAGGGTACCATATCCTGAAATACCTACTTCCAACTGAAGAAATGTTCCATTTTGGAGACTGGCATGGTATCGACCAGGGGAAACACACACACACAACCTGCCCGCCGTCTGAGTGAATGATTACACGCTATTTGAAATGATTTCCTTTGAAATGCAATTACGGTCAATTTTGACCTGGAGGTATATAGGTCTAAAATATGGCATATTGACTATTAAGAAAATGCTACACACAGCACATTCAGAAAGATGCCTTTGTCCTTTTATAAACAATTCTGAACACATTTATAGACTGCACAGAACGGGCTCGCAATCACTTCAAAAATGTCCACCTCCTTCAAATTTCCTGACCACTTAGAGATAAATGCACTGGGAGGAAGTGAGGCATCTTCCTGAACCAAGGAATTCACCAAATCCTCGGACAAACCTCTGGGATGTAGCAAAATTCCAAAGGCAATTGTTTTTTCTTTTAAAGTCTTCGATAGAACGAGCTATTTTTAGGGCATAAATAAACCACTCTGACAGTGGGGGAGTGGGGGGGGCTTGAGGCACTAGTTTAAAAAATGATGGCAAGATAGGGGGTGGGGGGGCGGGTAACAGTTTGTCAAGGGCCAAGTTACTCCACTCTGGGTAGAAGTGTCAGAGAGGCAAAGCCCTCCGGCCATCTCCCAGGGCTCTACTTGGTGGTCAACTAAGGCTCGGGGTTATTAGAGCCACGAAAACACTCAACTGGGGTTGGGGGACCGGGGTAGACCAAACCCACTTCATCCTTCTCGACCAGGAAGCCCGGGTGGCTGGAGGAACAATACACTATTCTTGCAACACAACCCCAGCCTGGCTGGGGCCATCTGCCTCCTTGGGAGTGTACTCGCGGGAAGCCGGGCGAGGGGACGGCCAGGGCGGTAAGTCGAGGCAGGCCGCCAGCCCCCTCGGGGATCCCTGCTCAGCCGGGCGGCGGGCACCAAGCCCAACTCCGTGACTTCTCGCCGGCGGGCGCGCCCCAGGCCGGGGGCGAGGGGACCCCCAAGGCGCGGAGCCTCGCCCGCCCGCCCGCCCGTCCGCTCGCCCGCCCGCCCGGGACTCGGGGTGCCGGGGCAGCAGCACCCCGCCGGCCGGCCCCGGGGACACTGCCCGGCGGCGGGGGCGCGCTCCCCAGACCTCCGCCCGGAGGGCACAGAGGCGGGGTCCCGCGGGGGCCTCACCAGGCGGAGCTGGCTAATTTCGTCGTAGGACATAAAGCTGAGTATGTTCTCGATGGCTACGATGGGCAGCGCCACCAGAGTGTTGTTTTGAGGCAGGTGGTCCGGAGCCAGCGCGGGCGCCGCAGGTGCCTGGGACCCCGGCTGCGGGGCCTGCGACGGGGGCGGCGGGGGCTGTCGCTGAGCGGAGCCGGCGGCCGAGCAGGAGCCGCCGTCGCCGTGGCCGCCGCCTCCTTCCTCAGCCATCCGCTCCTCAGACGCCGCCATCTTGGGAGCTGGATTCCTTCCTCCACTGTAAGGGGACCAGGACACTTCCTGTGCGTCACTTCCTCCTTCTGCCTCCTCCGGGGGGACGGGGCAAGGAGAGGGAGGGGCCTGTGGGATGACAGGAGGGAAGCGCTTGCTGTGAATTCGGTGGGAAGGCAGGAAGGTACTGTACACCTCAAGAAAGGTGGTCCCTGCAGCTCTTTAAACCGGAGACTACCTAGTTAGAGGGGAAATGGTCAAACACTCTGCAAGCCCCAAGAAAGACGGGCCGTAGTCTCCTATCTGGTTGGAAACTGCCTGAGGGTAGCAGTTTAACCTCCTGGTTAAAGAGAAAGAAACTGGGGCGGTTTTATTTCAAAGCAACTCGACAAAGGGTGATAAAAGAAGCCGTGTTGTTTTCATAAGTTTAGATGGAAATTTGTATTTAGGTCAGCACTTCCCAAGTGTCGTTGTAATAATCCTAGCATACAAAAAGGAATAAAATACCGTTGTTTAAAAGCTACAAGACCGTAGGCAAGCCCTGAAGACGTGTTAGTGAAATAAAAACGGAGTCGCATGCTGTAGGACAACTTTTAGATGAGATGTCTCATATAGGCAAATCTATAGAGTCAGGGACCAGAGAGATGTCCCGGAGGTCAGAGCACTTGCTGCTCTTCCAGAGAACCCGAGTTTGGTTCCTAGCACCCACATGGGGCGGGCGGCTTACAACCGCTCAACTGAAACAGAATACACTAGGGGTTGCTGGGACTGGGGACAAGGGCAGTGGCAGTTAAAGGGTGCATCATTTCTTTTCGTGGGTGATGAGAAGGCGGATTAGGGACCAGCAAGATGACTTAGCGGGTAAAGACGCTAGCTGTCAACCCTGGCCACCTGAGGTTGATATCCAGGACCCACGTGGTGGAAAGAGAGAGCTGACACACACCCAGACAAATAAATGTAATTGTAAAACGAGACTGGGGGCCTGGAGGTACGGCTCAGTGGTTAAGAGCACTTGTTCTTGCAGAAGATCCCTGGCCCATTCCCAGCACCCACATGGCAGCTCGGCGCAGAGACACACATGCCAGCAAAACACTCACACGCATGAAATAAATCCAAAATATGTTTTAATGGAATTAAATAGCGGTGATGGGTATACAGCCTTGTGGAAACACCAAAAACACTGAATTGCATGCTTTAAGAACTTACTTTATTTTTAAATGTATGTATCTGTGTACTTATTATGTATATGTGAGTATGGGTATTCAAAGATGCCAGAAGAGGGTGTTAGAGCTCCTGAAGCTGGAGCTATAAGCAGTTTGAGCCGACCAATATGGGCACTGGGACCCAAACTCAGATCTTCTGAAAGAGCAGCAGGTGCTCCTAGCCTCTAAACCGTCTCTCCAGCACCTGATATGTGTGGTTTAAAAGTAATGGCTTTTATTATATGTGACTTACCCGACAAAACAATCAATTCAGACAAGAACCCCTGAAAAGATGCTAGAACTAGAAGCCTAACACGTGGCGAGGTGCAGCACACAGTCTTAAAATGATACCCCCGCCCCCCGTGACACATTAATTACAAAAGATGAGAAATATGTTGCAGAATCCAACAGACAGGTTCATAATCCAATGATTAAGAATGCCACCACAAGCTGTGGGAGGAAGCAGCCTCTTACTGTGACACCCTGTCAGTAATGTAGCATTCATGACATTATGTAGTATTCATGCATAAAAATAAATAATCTGCATTTGAAGTAAACAATGTTGGGTTGGGCTTTGTAGTGGTTTGGATGAGAATGTTCCCTAAAGATTCAGGTGTTTGAACACTTAGTTTCCAGTAGGTGTTGCTGTTTGGGGATGCTTTGCGGGGTAGAGCCTTGCTGAAGGAAGCAAGGCCCTAGGGGGTGAGTTTTGACTGTTGTAGTGTCACCCAACGTTTTTTTCCCTCTTGGTTTTGTGCTTGAGATGGAAGATGTGCTTTCTCTGCTTCCTGCTCCTACGGTGGTGCTTGCCACTTGATGCTGGGTCTCCCCACCACAGGGCATTCTTTTTATATATGTTGCCTTAGTAGTGGTATTTTATTACAGTGACAGGAAAGTAACCAACACAGACTTGAACTTGTAAGGGTTCTGTCTCTGCCTCCCATGATTCCATTTCTTAATGGTTTCATCCATGATGGTCAAGGTTCCAGTGCACGAGTCATGATGAACACACTCAAACCAGATCCACATTATAGCAGGGTTGGTTAGTATTCAACATGTATTTTATGTCTATCTGTTTCTAGATGTTTACATATTTGTAATGTGTTAATTTTCGCTCCACTAATAGACTGTAATTTTACTTTTCTGCCTAGGGCATTGCTACCTCTTCAGAGAACCAACTGCAATTTAGTCTAAATTGAAATAATTTTCTACCTAGCTTTATTTGAATTGGAAGCTTTCTTGATGGGTTAAGTTGAAATAGAATTTCCATAAGTGGAATCATGCTGTATGCACATTATGGGAACTCTCAAATGAAACGCACAGAAAATCTTATAAAAAGTGAATCATTCTCTTATTTAATTCATGTGTTTTGTTAATTGGCTCATTACACACGCAGTTGCTTGTATGAAGTGATCCGAGAAAAAGCAATCCTATTCCCTTAACTCTTCATATGTGGACAACTGGTTAATAGTCAGATCTGTGATCTCCACAACAAGATATGAGTTTGGAAATAATTTTAAACAGTTCTTGTCACTCAGTTCATTCTTTTTTTCTCTTTATATGCACTGGATTACCTGAGTATTATTATTGTTGTTGTTTTAGAGGCACTTAGTATTGAACTCACAGTCCTGTGTATGGCAGCCAAGTACTCCACCATCCAGTTATAGCCATAGTTCCTACAAATTTTCATAAAGAGAATTTCAAAGCAAATGGTAGTTTTGTTATAATTTTTCAAAATCCATCTTTATTTTGGATTTACTTTCCAACCAAAACAAATATGTGCACTATTAGGAGAAGTTCTGAATTCCAAATGTAGTTTTGGGTCATCCAGCTATCAAAGGTACTTTACAAGACAGCAGATTCAAGTGGGGGGGGGACAAATACTTCCAAAGAGCCCAAGAGTCACGTTTCCAATTTCATATTTGTGAAAATATGAAGGAGAAGAATACCTCCCTCACACAGCCAATACAAGGATAAAGAAGACAGTGAGTGAGTGTGCCTTGATTTATT